TCAATATCTTTCTAATCATTATATTTATACTTTTGTCTGTCTCTTCAATTTATGCCTTTACAATTATAACATTCAATATAACACATAACTTCCAGTTGAATTCTGCTTGGTACATTCTTAAAATATGTACTAAGTTCTTAAAGAAAAAGTATATATATAACAATAACAAATAAAATACTTATTCTGTTCCAATTCAGCTCTATCATTAATGTTAGTTATAATCTTTAACATCTTTAACATTTCTTTTCAATAGGATATCATACTTCTAGGAACACTTATAATATTTCCATAATTTTTTCATATTTCTTTCATATTCCTCTTCACTTAAATTTTTATAACACCTATGATAATTAAAATGTTCCCCTCCTTTCCTCATTCCATTCTCTCATTCTCTTTATTTCATTTATTTATTAAACATTCCATTACATTACAATGAGCATTTTATCTATCATTTTAATCACACTTGTTTCATATTTTCAAAGTTCATTTCTATTTCTAATATAACAATACTATCTTATGTACCCTTGCAGAATCCCCCTTTCAATTAAATTTTCACCCATTATCTCTGTGTCTTCTAAATAGGCTTATACCCTTAATCTTTGTACGTTTTCCCTGTTTCTCTATGTCCTGTTTCTGTCCTTTATAATTTCTTTTCCTTTTCCTCTTCCCCCTCTTCTTCTCCCTTCCCTTTTTGACCCCTTCTTTCTCTAATTCTGATTCTCTCTTCTGTAATCCTCTCTTCTGTGTCTTCCTAATATTGTAATTACTTTTCAAACTATTCTTTTTGGGGGTTGTTTTTTCAAATCTTAAATTTTTCACTCTCTTTCCCCCCTTTCCTTTCTTTTCCCCACATAGAAATACTTGGTCATTGAAGATGGCTTCTTCTTTGTCCCGCCCTTCTTGTTCTACAGGCATTTCTTGTTGTTTCTCATAGTTCAGGATCTCCATTTCTAAAAATTGAAATACGAAGCCAAAAGAACCTCTTCCTTCTTGTGTATCTTCTGTTTTTTAAGTTCCATTCTCAATTCTTCCAAGAGTGATACCATTTAAAAAACTTTTAAACAACCACCCGATTAATTTTAGTCCTTTAGATCCAATAGCCAAAAATCCAAAAATCACCAAGTAATCCAAATAATCCAAAGCTGTTTCTTCTTGCTTCTTTTTTCCACTTTCTCTTCCTGGGGTTCTATTATTTTGTTACAAAGTTTCAGTTAAAATGTATCTTTTAGGAATCTTGTTAAAGTTTCACTGTTAATTTCTTTCATTTCCAGGTGGTCTCCTCCATTTTTCTAGATCCCAGCCTTTTGGTTTTTTTCCTTCTTTTAAAAGTTTTTGAGAATCCAGAAATCTTTATTATCCCTTTGACATTTTATTTTCAGCTTAAATATCTGTTAATGTCAAAGTGGATTTTTGCCGATTTCTTGCTTAAATCTCTTAGTTGTCAATATAGGGAAGAAAAGAAAAAAACCCAAATCCTTTCCCTTTCCTCTTTCATTCGCCGCTTCAAAGTCTTTCTTGGGAGCAATGTTATTCTTTATAATTCAAATTTCAGGGTACCTTATATTGTTGCTTTTTCAGTTCGACCCGGTCAGCCAAAACTTTCTCTTCTTATCTTCCTCCTGCACATTCTTTTCCAGTCAAGTTCTTCTTTGAGGTGGCCATTTCTGACCACCACTGCAACCGCCTTCAGGAAAGGGAGTAATGGCCAGCTGGGGAGGAGATATGCGACTCTCCTTGACCCTGCTGGCAGTCTCCCCCCTCTTCACCACCTCTAAGGGGTGGCTTAGCCCCAAAACCAGTGGCTCGGGGCGCTCCAGTGGCGAGCACAGATCAAAACCGCGCATGATTGCAGATTTCGGTCTGTCGCCGAAGAAGCTCAAACTGGACAACAAGGTCTTTCTTGTTTGAAGGAACAAAAGAAAAATCTGCCGGCTTGTACTGATAAACAGTTTGCATGGGTATTTTTTAATTTACATTCTCATGTTTGCTAATTATCTGCCACATTGCACCTTAAGTTTCTCAATATTAGAAAGAGTAATAGGTTACCTATTCTTTTCATGGTGTGGTTGAGTATTCTTTTTATTCGCTTATGGTTAGGAAAGTTTGAGGATCCCAGGAGGAGTCTCATCCCGAATAAATCTCTGGATAAGTCGAACTCAGGAATCAAAAAACAACGAAGGAGTCAAGGTATGAGAAAGGCTTTAGTAAGCTCATTATACTAAGGTTTAAGATAACTTTTATTGTCATTTTTTTTTTTTTACTGTGAGCACATTGACCCACATTAAAAATGAAATTTTGTTGCCTGCTCTCAAGAGTTAAAGAACTAGAATACTAGCACATTATATTAGCCAGAGGACTCCCAATGGACTCCCAATTTACTCCAGCTCATTTCCAGCTCTTAAACAAGAAATCCCATAGAGGTAGTCCTCAACTTACAAATTTCTGTTAATAAGCAATGTCGTTGTGAAGAGTTACTGCACTATTTAGGAGCAGCAATCCTTGGTTGCCATTGTTAACCAAATCCCACAGTTGTTAGGCAAGGCAGCCTCCTGCTGTGTTCCCATAACCAAATCAGTGGGGAAGCTAGCAGGAAGTTGCAAATCCCAGGCAGTTTGCAAGCAGAGAGGCAAGACAGGTAAGTGTTTGCAGGTGGAGAGAACATGAGGGAGAGTGCAAAGGTGTGAGGAAGATGTGGAAAAGAGAGGGGAAGGTGCAAGGGTGTGAGGGAAACATGGAGAGGATCAGTGAGAGTATTTGAGGGGGTGAGGGATATCAGGGAGAGTCATGGAGGATACAGGAGTGCATGAGTGGCTGGCACAGTGCATGTCTAGAATGCAAAGTGACTGGGGGACGGTGTGTCCATGGGTGGATTGAACGTATCCCCACATCTTACTACCTTCCCCATCAGCTTCCACACTCATTTTTTGGGGAAGCTGGTAGAATAAATTAGAGACTACCTATATTAGCTCTGGTTATCTGCACAGGAAATTTGTGCGAAGATAAGGTCCTAAAATGACACAAGTGACAGGGGGATAGAAATACCGCAACTAACCACCTCTTCCTCACCCCTTTGGCTCATTGGGAAATTTTTCATGAAATTGCTTCACTATTCTACCTGCTTTTACATCCCAACTTTTTATCCAAGTGGCTTCAGGCAAAGGGTACCCCTTCCACTGAATTAAATATTGTGATCGTCCTCTATGTAGTCTAGAATCAAGAATCTTCTTTATCTTGTAATGTTCTTCTTCCTGAACCAGTATTGGTTTGGGCACTGGGTCTTACTCAGTCTTACTCAGAAAGTAACATCTGGCTTTAGTAAGAGCCCGTGTTTTATCTTTCTGCAGGATGTTCAGAGAACTGGGAACACCATACAGGGGAGTTAATTGGAAAACTGATCTGATGGTTTGTGAAGGAAATCCAAGGTAAGGATGAAAAGAGTTAGGAGTAGACGGAAGGTGACTTGCTGGGCATGTGACAAGTATGAAAGTGATTTGGCCTGAGTATATTTCAGCATGTGCACAAACAATATTGAATCTGCTTCATGAACATTTTAACTTACTATCAGTACATTATTATCATGCTGCTAATAATGGATTAAACTAAGAGTCTCCAAACTCTTGGCCACAGACGGCTAGTGGCTGTGGCCCATTGGGAACTGGGTCACCAAAATAGCAAGCTTCATTTGTGCAGATGAAGGATTTAGGTTGTGCACGCAAAACTATTCCCTCTCCGCCTCCAAAACCACTGAAGCTGTAGGGTCTGCTGCTTGGGCGAGGGGGTGGGTTGGACTAGATGACCTACAAGATCCCTTCCAACTCTGATTATCTGTTATCTGTTATCTGTTTATATGAAGCTGGCACCACCAATCTGCGGAATCAAATAGGTTGGGAACCCCTGGATTAAACAAGATGCTAATTGGATATTCTATGATTAGACATTCAGTATATTGATTCATTAGAATTAGTTTCTGCCCTGGAAATCTAACACTTAAGATTCAGTCACCAAATGCTAAAACTGGAGTACAGTGGGATGAATTGATTGATGAACTTGGAATCAGGGATGGGATCTGACCAGTATAACTACTGGTTCTGTTGCTCTGCATCGCGCCAGTTGCATGAGTGCAATTTAAGACCTGCTGAGCTGCCTGGACAGCTGAGCAGCGCTGCGTGCGGGTGCACAGTGGTTGGAAAAGCCACTTTTTTCCTGCTTTTTCAACCGCAGCTGTGCCGCGCAAAGCAGCTGTGGTTGAAAAATCAGGAAATAAAGGACACATAAGAGCCCAGGCGGGCGGGTGGGCCAAAACAGCAGCAGACACAGAACCGGTTCTGTGTCTGCTGCTCTTCAGAGCTACCGGTTCTGTAGAGCCAGACAGAACTGGTAGACTCCCACCCCTGTATAAAATCATAAATGAAATCATAAATAGAATTATTCAGAACAAATGTTTCAACTCTTTGTGATTGAACCAATGGATATAAATCTCCTATTATTCTGATTCTGCCTTATAACAAAGGCTGTATTCTGATCTGCTTTCTCATTGTTCTTAGTATAACACTATAAAAATCCTTATGGTCATTCCAGCACAGTGTTTAATGGTGGAGATTTGGAGGTTGAAAGAGTTGCCATTAATTCCTCAAATCTCTGCATGAGTGTCACTAATCTCTCACCTCAAGCAGTTGAGAAACCAGACTAGTGCACACTTGCTATAATTAATGTGTGAACTTACCATTACTGAAAAGAGAGAATAGTGTTCTCTAATATTTCTATTATGAATCTAACAATCCAATACGGTGTTGATTTTACAATTTCAGTTAGGAACTGGGACACTCCAAATCACTATTCATTGTGAAGTCCACTGAATGACTTCAGCTAAAAGATCTGAGTTTGTTTTATATATTCAGATTCAATGAGCACCCTTCCTTGTCCCTTGTGGAAAACTGTGTATTCATCAAATGTTTTCTTTTATATTCTAGATGTAACCAGACATGCTACTCTCAGGAAAACTTGCCCCCATTGAAACAAAAGGCATGGATCTCTTGGAATTCTACTATGTCCCTCAGTTTATTGCTCTATTCTTCTATAGAACTGACCACCTGGCAAAGATATCTATCAGCCAACAATGCCTACAGTGCCTTTTATTGAATGGGGCTCTTGATGACTTAAACGATTTGATGGATAGGAAAACTGACCTATGACAGAAAAACTATATTTCTATAATCCATTTTTATCTTTTTATTGCTATATCATCCATCCTTGTCATCCAAAATTAAGTTGAGTCTTACATTTTATTAGCAAATATGAAATACATATGGCTTCTTTACTGGATCATGTTTCAGCTATGTTTCCACCACGATGAATACTTTATAAGTTTGCACCAAGCATTTGCAATTGTTGCATAAATGTAGCTTTGCCTGTTCTTGCTGATCTTATTATTATCTAATTATGTTATTTGAATAAAAGAGGGATGTTTTAATGGGGAAACTATGCTTAACCCTAAATTGATCAGAGCCATGAGGAGGTTTAAAGCAGAGACTTACCTGAATGCTGTAAGTAGAATATAAGCCATCTGCGAATTGTAGGGGAAAAGAAGGGTGCAATGTGCCTGAATATATAGATGAACTTGTTTTGCAAAAACCATAAAAAAGTAATGTTCTTCCCTCCCTAAAAAATTGCCAAGGAGTTATTTTGTATAGTAAAGTGCATTCTATATTTAAATAATATTTTTATAATATATATTTGTGTTTCAGCTTAGTCCTAGCTATTACTGAATCTCAGTAAGACTAATGGAAGAATTTTCATGTTTTCAACAAGATTTGCCAATCTGTATACATCTATTTAGGTCTACTGCATTCAAAAGCTCTTATCCCCAGATAAATGTACAGTGGATTGCAACTAATGTCATGGCTAATTTTAACTGAATCAGGGCTATGGGTTGACATCTGTCTTACCTATTAGCATGTCATAATTAAACAACTTAGAAGTCACCCATATACACATGCTACTTAAATTCAGTAGTGGGGATTGAATTTTACTTTTCACTTTTCACGATAAATATCATAATAAATAACATTTGTTTCAATATACAGACTTTGCTTCCAATTGTATTAATCTGTTGTCTGATTTTTTTTCCTGTTAAATCTGCTGACCAGACCCAATGTCTAGCCTTGCATTGTGACCCAGTGGTGGGATTCAAATTTTTTTGCTACTGGTTCTGTGGGCAAGGCTTGGTGGGCGTGGCAGGGGAAGGATACTGTAAAATCTCCAGTCAGAGGTGGTATTTGCTGGTTCTCCTAATTACTCAAAATTTCCGCTACTGGTTCTCCAGAACTGGTCAGAACCTGCTGAATACTACCTCTGAAGTGACCCCCCCCTGCAAACAGATTCTATGCATGCAATCTAGGCCTTTAGAGATAACATCCAGGAACTCCTTCAATAGTCTTCAATAATAAGTGATTTGCTATGTTCTCTGTGTTAAAGTGAAGGCTCATTCAGGACATCAATGCTTTCCTTCTGAATTTCCTTTCTGGTGAACTTTAGATACAGGTTACAGATAGATAAGAGATCACTATAAGTGCCATGAGTATATTGAAGAAGTTCAAGGAATCTTTGGTTTCCAATCCAATTTACTGATTCGAGTTTTATAGTTTCCTCCCACCCAACGCTTTTGTTGTTTTTTTGTTTAAAAGGGACAATAGCCTTCTTGCCAAAGAGGCTTTTCAGACAGTAAGATATCAGTAGACATCCCATTTAACGGAGAACAAAAGCATGCCTTGGGACTCACAGCCTGGCTTTTCAGATTTATACCCAGAGCTCTCCTAGAGCCAAACCTTCTATATCAGAGTTCCAGGCCACTCGAGAATGACAGCTGGCTGGCTTGTGTCAGACTCTTGGGCACTTGGGTATCTCAAGTTTAAAATAGCAATTCACAGAGGCCATACAATAGCCAGTGCTTATATGGGCTCAGGGCGGGGGTGAGATGGATTGCACAAGAGGCTGTAGCTGACCCTGCCAAAATAGCAACAAAGCTTTGCATTCCAAGCTGTTCCCTCCTGGCATTCCTCCAATCAGGCATCCAACATCCAGGGTGGCTGATAAGGGTGGAGTGCTCTTGTTAAAGCCTCCCTCTTTTTAAATTGCATTTCTCAGACACTACATTTGTTCCCACTGAAAGGACTTTTCATCTGCTCTCTGGGCAAAAGGTAAGGAGCCCCAAACCATATCTTCCATTCCTCCATCTTAAACTAACTGGGCCACATACCATATCTGAAAACAACCTATTTGAAATTGGGATTGGGAGGAGTATATATTGTGTGGCAGTACCCCAAATCTACCCCCTCTCACAATTTCTCTGTGGATACCCTTCCTTTGAAATGAAAAAAAAATGAGCTTGTCCTTATTGATGTATGTGTAAGTGGCTCTGTATATATGTGTGTGTTTGGGGGAGAAGGCAAAGGCTATAATGCCACAAGACTGTTTAGACTTGAAAACAAAACAAGGAATTCAGTTTGCAATATCAGTCTGTGTAAAATGCTTCTCTAAATGCTCATTAGAAAACATGGTATTCATATAAGTTGGGGGAAGATAGTATTAGACTAGAATTAGTGTTTCTTTTCCTTTGTAAGCCAGGTAGCAAAAAAGAGTGAATTTTCACTGAATGTTGGAAACCATTCAAAGATGAACAAGGAAAATCAGTAGCAGGAGTACATAGCTTGTTTAAAGTATGCTTTCGCATTGCACAGTAACTGCTTTTTGTAACATTGCCATTATCACAAAGACAGAGATTCTTAATCTAAGCTCAATTAATTTTCCTGGGGAATTCCTGAGGTGTCTGCAAATACACATATAGAGTTCTAATTCATTAGTTAAGGTAGATGGATTCAAAATTGTATGAAAATAATGCATAAGGCTATAGCTAGTGTTATCCTGAGGTAACCAAAAATTCTTATCAGGATGATTACAGTCCTAAAACATTATAAAAGGCTACAATGTGGACTCAAATTAGAAATCATAGGGCTGCAGTACATACCAAGAAAAAATTGTACTAAATATACTATCTATATATAGTACATTAAGAGTGACAGATTATTTGAAAACTGATGTCTAGATAAGGAAAGTTTTGTATCAATTTAGAGAAAATTTAGAAATGACTAAGTCAAACTTTTATTCAGTTTTCAAATAACTGGAAATGTGCAATATCTGTGATCAGGATGCTGCTCCTAATGCTATTTCCTTTATTGCTCTTGTAGTACCTTTGGGAATTTGTGCAGCAACGTATTTGATTCTATTCTTTTACAGCTATTAGGTACAATTCAAATGACTTTGTGACACTCTTCCAAAGTAGAAGAGAAACAGGGACTTACAGGACAAGACAGATGTCTGACACTTGCAAATTATTTGTTGAACTCCCCAGAACCTGCTTAAAATACCCTTCATTTTGGTGGTTTGCTTTACAGTTGATATAGCAGGATTGGATTTGTTGAAAGCAGCTGCCAAGCCCCAGATATGCTTTAAGCAAGGAAAAGGAAGAACAAGGTTCATATGCTTGCTTATATTGCTGCAGGTGGAAACACAAGCAGTTGAGCTTGGGGTAACTGGTTTTAAGCTCAGAGGGAAACCATTTAGACCTTAGCTAGTCCTCTTCTTTTCTGCTTCAGAAATCTGGGAGCAAAGCTAGAACTCCAAACTTGGAAAAGAGAAGAAACTAATAATGGCCATGATTATCTCTCATATGAGAGTTGACAGTGGTAAGCTGTGCAAGCAACATCCCTCTAGAAATAAAATAACTAAGTTAGGATTCTCCATTGACATTGCATTGGGTATGCAAAATACTGTCTGATTTTGGGATAATAATTTAAATGTGTTTATGGACTTATTTATCAATGTTGTTTCTGGCACTAGTTGCTAGAAATTTAAGATGTTTGAGCTTCCCAGACTCTAGCCTCAGGCAGTACTGCAGACAGTCCCTCCTTTTTGTCTCCAGACTACAGGGTGTAACTGTGAGTTTATTGCTTTACTTGTTAAATATGGAGGTCAGAAAAAGTATTGGTTAAAAAGAGCAATCTAAATGTAGGATGAAAGAAACATATCAAGGTTAATATTTTCGTCCATAATGTAATCTTCTTCTCAGTATATTTCTTGATCTCATTTAAAATACTTGTCTTTCACATCACTTGTGTCCTTAGTTTGTTATATCACACATGACTACTTGTGATGTCTCTGCTTGTTCTTTCTTATCAGTTCTGCTGCTAATCTCCTCTACTTATTTTAGAAGAACTATGCTGCTGGGTTGTGAAATGGAAATAAAAAACAAACTTCGCTATCAGTATTATTGGCAAAGAAGTACTTTTAGACCTCAAGCCAAATTTAACAGTTACATTTATATGAGTTATTAGACATTGGTGGTGCTTGTCTTTTCTTCTGACTTCATTGCACTAGCTTTCTGACTCCTTGTCAATATCTTTTTCTGTTTCCTTTCCCAAAGATATTATGCACATTTTACTAACTATAGAGATTACAGTTCAATATTCCAGAAATGGTAGATGTTAACTGTTGTGTCAACTAAGAACTTGAGATTCCAGAGAAATATTTGAGCTTGCAGCCTTGTGCTTATGAATACAATAGCCTTGTGCCCATCTTAGTTTGCCATTATATTTCTCATAATAGCCAACCAAATACCGCTGGAAATCTTATAAATATGAGATTCCAATTTTTTTGCTTCCCAATGGTATTTTAAAAAATGCTGGAGGTAGCGTCATAGATCTGTCCTCCATGAATAGGACATGATCTGTCCTCCTTTATGTGATTGCCTTTTTAAAGCCATCCAAATTAGTGTACATCATACATCTTGTGGTTTTGAATTTTACAGATTAATTATATTCTTAAATTTTTTTCTTGTTATCTGTTTTATGGGCAATAATCAAGTGTTAGTACATATAGCAGATGTGAGGGGTTAGGGTTAGGGTTCCTCCTCACAATGCTAATTTTTTAACCTATAATTAGATAATTAATATATAATGGATCTTTGGCTTATCTCTTATCCCCAAATAGACTTTCTTTCTCCTAAAACTACCTTTGTCTAGCTTTCACATAGACTGCTGTGGAACTACTCATAGATTTAGTTAGCTGTTATGTTTTGTTATCATCATGAGAATGGATAGAACAGATTCCAAATTGTTACAAATACCCTATTTCTATTAGATCTGGGAAGTCATGAATGTCTCACTGTAAGAGAGATTGATGCCAGAAGCCCTTAAGAGGTGTGGGTCTTCCCTTTCTCTAAGAGATCTGAATATATTAGATATGTACCATCTGGTTTCTAACATTCCCTTCTTAATAAAGATTTTTGAGTTGGTGGTTCAGGACCAACTATTCTACAAGAAGCAGAGAAGGCAATGATTGCTCTATTGTGTTGGGACCTGTTCTGGATATCTACAGTCTTTGATGCCATCAACCATGGTATCCTCTTGGATTGGCTATAGCAATTGTGGATTTGAAGCACTGTTTTTCAGTGGTTTGGCACACTCCTTACCAGTTGCCTCTAGTTGGTTTTTGTTGGGAGGGAAATTTGGCACAGTGGGGTTCTCCTTTACAGGTAGTGCAGGATCTCTCTCTCTCTCTCTCTCTCTCTCCCCTCTCTCTGAGGTTTAAGAGATCTGGATGGGATAGAACCTTTGAACCTTTGCAAGATGGAGCTGATGTTTCTACATCTTCTACACCCATTGTTTTGTTTCCAGACCTGATTGTATTGCCTCTGAATTATCAGGTCTGCAGCTTAGAGTTTTTCCTGGATTCACAGTTTGAGGCTGTGGCCCAGGAGGCCTTTGTCCAGGTGCAGTCTTATTCAGGACTGCAGGATCTGATTACTGTAGCTCATGCCCTTATTATCACTACTATCAGTTAGACTACTAGAATGTATCCTACATGGGGCTGTTTTAACAGATCAGTTGAATATTTCAGTTGTTGCAAAATCTAGTGAGCATGATCACAGGTATTTAATGGTGTATTCATGATACATCTGTCCTGTGAGCCATAGTCCTATTACTTCTGGGTGCAATTTAAAGTTCAGATTTTAACCTATAAAGTCCTCTATGGCTTGGTTCTGATCTACTTATAGGGTCTTATTTCTTCACCAGGAGTTCAAAAAATGCATATAACAAATGCTGAACTTTTAGTTTTGGGAGGCTAGCTTATGCCTAAAGTTCTGACCATTAATTTCTCAGGAGACATTTACATGGAGGAACTGTTAGCTAGTGAGCCAGCCCATATGTGAATGCAGTCTCGCTATTCTAGAACCAAAGTTAAGCAGTCATGCTAATAATTAGTCATGCTAATTGAGACTCTTCCAGTCACTGAACAAGTTCAGTCAAATCCTGCATCCTCTATTTCAGCTTTTCCCAAATGGTGCTCTTCTAACATGTCAAATTCCCAGAAAGCAGGAAGAAATTATGTGAGTTGAAATCCATCTTATCTGGAGATCAGGTTGATGAAGGCTGCTTTATCTCAGTTCCAAGTACTCATATACAGATACAGTATTAGTGCACTCAGCCTCCATATACATCTGGCTTATTACTATGCATTAAAACTGCAGTTTCAATTGACATTCAGGCAATCTGCCTATTTTTTGCAGTCCATTCAAAAACATTTTTGGGTCAAGCAGGCATTTGGTGACTATTGGCCCAGATATCAAGTCCAATTTAGATTGCTTCAATAATTTCCATATCTCTGTTTTTAAAAGTACCCTCTAGATCAGAGGTCTCCAATCTTGGCAATTTTAAGCCTGGCAGACTTTAACAAGCAAAGCTGACTGGGGAATTCTGGGCGTTGAAGTCTGCCAAGGTTGGAGACCACTGCTCTAGATGGTACTCAGTCATATTCCAACATTTTCATATCTCCTGAAACTTTATTTTGCATCTTTTTTAATGGCAGGTAACTGAAAATGTCAGACACTGAAGATGTCATTGAAGAATATGAAGAGTAAGTGATTTTTGTTGTGCAAATCCCTCTTTGACGGATATGGGTGATACATAAATATGAAAAATAAATACAATTAACATTTGTCATGCCTTTTCAATTCAGAAGGCCATTAATGCTATTTTTTTTGCTATTGTTCACAATTATGAGTGTAGTTCTGGTTGGTTCCATTATAAACCATTATGAATTACAACTATGAGACAGTTTGAGTAATAGCAAATCCCTTGAGAAAAAGATTGATGACTGAGGAAGGCAATAGCTATTGTATATCTATGGACTCAGCAAAAGTGAAAGTACACCACCAGCCTTCTTGGAAGCTATTTGCAAGGTAAGCATTGCTGTTTCTAGGGTTGTCAATAGCACTTGCGCTTAGACTTATATACCACTTTATAGTGCTTTACAGCCCTCTCTAAGCAGTTTACAGAGTCACCATATTGCCCCCAATAATCTGGGTCCTCATTTTACCAACCTCAAAAGGATGGAAGGCTGACTCAATCTTGAGCCAGTCAGAATAAACTGCTGGCAATCAGTAGAATTAGCCTGCAATACTGCATTCTAACCAGAGGTGGTATTCAGCAGGTTCTGATCAGTTCTGGAGAACTGGTAGCGGAAATATTGAATAGTTTGGATAACCGGCAAATACCACCTCTGACTGGAGATTTTACAGTATCCTTCCCCTGCCACGCCCACCAAGCCACGCCCACAGAACTGGTAGTAAAAAAAATTGAATCCCACCACTGATTCTAACCATTGTGACACCAAGCCCTTGATACAATACTTCTGGTGGCCCTTTACTTTCTAAACATGATAAGTCTAATCTACCAATTAGCAATGGAAAATATTTGCAAGCCACTTCTCTTTTTTCTCTTTTCTCTGCTTTGTCAGAAGGTAGCACATGAAAGAGAAAATTAGAATTAGAAATCAGCAACATGTATCAGAAACGAGGAGGAATAGAAGGATCTTGTAGCTCCAGGGCTTGGCTTTGAGCCTCCTTCTGAATCTTGATCTCTGATTTTCACCTCTGGCTAGGATGTATTATTTTACAGATGATATGTCTCTGTTTGACAGTGTTGTCTATATATTGTATGCATTACAAATTGGATGAAACATAAAGAATCTTGTGAGGGGAGAAAAGGGATCTTCACTAGTAGTTCTTGATAGTAGACTGAGCAAGCATTATTTTTTCACAGTCATAACTGCCAAGATAAAGTATATTCCAATGTCATTTAAATGGTATAATATTTCTAAATATGTACCTACAAATATAACTTAATATACATACCTTCATGCAAATTTTGCCTTTTTTATTATTTCTCTCAAAAACACCTCTTGGAGGAAAGCATATTAAGAACAAGTACATAAAAATTGCCTGACACTGTAATCAAAGTAATGGTCCATTCAGTTCACTCCCTTCAACTCTGGCTAGTCAGGTGAACATGGGAAACTCATATTTAAATCATGATGACTGTGAGGTTTACTGCCATATCAGCCTTCAGCACTGATAGAGCTAATCACAACAATACTGGGTAATGCATTTTTGAGGGTAACAAGGCATGCAGCCTAATCCAAAAGCCTAGCCTTGACTGTATTAACATTAAATTGCAAATAGGAATAACATTTCAGTACCTCCTAATATACCTTTACATGTTCCAGGTTATTCTAAAAATAATTTAACTGATACCAGTTCTTTGTAGTAATTACAAGTTTTCACAAGTAGGGAAGATTATAGTAGTTTGAAATATTTTATCTTCAAAATATTTATAAATACAATACAAAATATCTATAAATACAATAATCGGGAACCACTGAAAGGTCACAGCACTCTACATGTCTTGGCAGTCATTAGGCTGCTTTTCACTTGGTTATGATTGCAATTCTAGAAGTTCTTCATACCATTTGGATGCCCGGTTCCTCCCATTCTTTCACACTTTCTCAGTTTCTTGTACACCCTCAATTCAATTCACTGAACAGTTTCTCACATGGTCTTGACTTCAGCTGTAAAGCCTCACCAGACTGACTGGGGGAAAAAAAAATCTTTCAGAACTGTCTCGCTTCTTCTGGCTCCATGTAACCAACACCTGTTCCTGTTACTTGAGCTGCATCTCCAGTTGATGCATAACATGAACTCATGCATTAAAATATCCAGTAGACTTCATGCTACTTTCAGCCTAAAGATTATTCCTCTGAAATCCAAAATATAAACATTAAACAAGAATTCATGTAAACTAGTTAACTTTCTAGCAAATAGTTTCACTGTTCGGAAAAAGGAATGAAATAGTGAAGCCTAAAATCACCATAACCTTATCTTAAAGTGGTAATGCTTCAGAGAGAAAAGTCACACAGTTTGGGGGATCAGATCAGGAGGACTATCTTGCTACATCTGCCTCCTTCTGTCTCGTAACTCTTCGATGAAGAACCAGCTGTAATTTGGCTTTGTTACAAAAAGACTGAGCTCTTGATCTGCATAGTGCTTATAACCAGATCAGTTCATTATTAGAGAGGCACTTGCAAGATTTTGCTTCTTTTTTATTTTTAAATTATCACCACAAAGGTGGAAGCAGATGCTGACAGAATTCTCTGTAGTTTCCCCTTCTTTCTTAACTGTTGGGTGAGCGCAGACAGTCACTTTAACTCTAAGACATATGACATCAGAAGAACCTCTTATGTTCCTGAACCCCGATTTGTACCAATCACACTATTTGATTCTCTGGGATGTTGCTGAAGTTTGGTGGCAGTTTGGTGGCCCAGGAAATGCATGTAGACCACCTGCTAGTAAGCATCAAGCACTATTTGAAAATACCCACATACATGATCATAATGACTGTATGTGTATAACACAATTACAAAATTCATAGAACGAAACACCTCACAAGATTACTCAAGAATATACGGAGGAAGAACAGCCTGCAAATAAATGTTGGTTTTGGTTTTGCTTCAGAGACAACTGAAATAAAGTGTCCAGATGAGGTTTGAGGATAACTTCTGAGATAGGACATCTACCTTAGCAGGTAGAGTTCTGGACAAATAAATTGAGTCAGCTCCCCCAAAATAGACACTGTGATCATGAAATCAACCAGGAGTCAACCCCAAAGCATTTGATTGCAATTTTCTGTTTTGGATTTCATATATAGTATATGTTTTAATGTTATGTAATTTTGGTTTTGGTTTGATTTATTTTTTTGTTCATTTTTTGGTGTACACTAGCCAGAGTAATATTGGGATAGTGTAAATTTGCTTAACAAATATAAATTTATTGTAAATTTACTTAACAAGTAAAATAAAATAAAGTGATGTCAAGAATTGCTATGGAAGTGCTCAAAGACTTCTTGGCCCATTGATTACTAATAAGCTGATGTGCTTCTGTGTCATAAGACTTTTTGTTTTGACAGCAAGAGTTTGACATGACTCCTTAACTTGAAGCTGATTGTAATGAGAACTTTTTTTTTTTGGAAAACTCTTTTCTGTCCTGCTTTATGAAAAGAAAAGCTCAGACATTATTCTAATCTAGCTTTTTTCTTTTTTGCTTTACAGGGAACAGGAAGGTAAGACAATGAAAACAATCATGTTTGGTAGATTTTTCAGATATTTTAACAAGGTCTAATGTTGTTCTCCTTTCTTTCTTGGTTTACCTTGCTGCAGAAGACTGTATTGAAGAAGGTAAGTTTCTGTTGTTATTAGAAAAGTCATTTTATATCTTTTAAAGGCATGTAGAAGCACAGTGAACAATAAAACAAGATTTCCCCAAGATACAAAACAAGAACTGTTGTGATACAGGAAAGGCAATAATTCATCTGGCACAAGTTCCCCTATACAGCAAGAGCAAAATTCTATGCACTTTTAACAAATACTATTTCTACTAAAAAAGGAAGATTCAACTATGCCATTTTTTTCTTTACAGGGAGAAAGAAAATAGACATTTGCAATTACAAGAATGCCTTATTAGTATTGGTAGGCATAGGCAGAGAGAAATACGAGCTGGCTTAAGTACTGTCAGTTTTATAACATTTAGCCTTATTATAGATATTCAAAAGTTAATGGGTATCATTATTATTAATATGCTTATAAAATCCTTCCTGACAATATGAACAAGCAGATTTGGAGGGAATACTTCATAGAGGGGGAGGTTTTATCAATGTAAGTCCGGGCACCTTATCATAGATAAGAGAAAATTCTTTTTAATACAATAAGTTGTATTTAAATTGTTAATATAATTAATATTGCATACTTTTCTGATTCTTGTACTTGTTTTTTGTTGTAATACATTTGCATTCCAAATGTATTTTGTTTCATGTCACTTGTTTTTTCTCCTGTGTTGTGACACTTTCCATGTTTTTTAGTATGAAAGTATTATTAAGGTATATCATAAAATACAATGAAAATAAAGATTACAAAAGGTGTTTGTGTGTTAGGCATGAATGATCAGACATCTTCATACATGAAGATTCAATTAAACTGATTTATTGCTAATCATACCTATGAACAGAAATGTACTCAACTAACAATTAACACTTGCTTGGAGTTAATGGAAATCAAGTGAGCTTGGACTTAGCTTGCTTTGTGGCTATGTAGGAATTCTAGGCTAACCCCTCTTTTAACTCCACACCCAAGGTCTTCTTCTACATGGGGAAAAAGCAGGATAAAAAAAGAGGAGAGAGAGAAAAAGGTGTGTGTGTATAGTATGCGTGCGTGTGTGTTCTTTCTTCCTCTTCAACATACTTCCCAAATTTAATTTCAAAATTTTACATTAACAATAATCTATCATTTCATTTTAGAAACCACTTTATAAGCACAAAACAATGATCTGGAACTATTTTTTAATTACACATGTCAAACCAATAGAAAATCATCCTAACTCTAATTAATTTATTAAATTTATGTCAGTCCCTCCAGTTATCCTGATAAAATATTTTTCTTCTTCAGAATGCCTATAAAATATAAACTTCTGTTTTTCTTAAGAAATTCTCCAATATTACTTTTAAAACAAATATGTCAGTGCTGCCAATTTCCATTTTGATTTTGAAGTGGAGATTCCCAAACTTATTCTCCTGAGGATTGTAGATTTACTTGCAACTCTTCTTATTTCAATTGTACTGGGGGACTTGTAATTAAACCATCTTCATAGTAGGCACTGTTGCTGTCAGATTAATATTCCAAAATTAGGGTTATGTCCTATATATTGTCAAATACGTGCAGTAACTTCAATGGTTTGATAACTTTCTGTGCTGGGTTGCATCTCTGAATTACTCATCTTTCTTCCAATTATTTGAATAATTTCTTTCCCTTAATCCTCTTTCCTGACATCTTTGGAACATAGTTGATCTATAAAATGAATTGTTTTATTTAAATAGGAGTCATGGTGGCACAGTGGTTAGAATACAGTATTGCAGGCTAGTTCTGCCAATTGCCAGCAGTTTGATTCTCACCAGGGTCAATGTTGATTCATCCTTCCATCTTTCTGAGGTTGGTAAAATGAAGACCCAGAATTGTTGGGGTAATATGCTGACTCTATAAATCGCTCAGAAACGGTTGTAAGGCACTATGAAGTGGGTATATGAGCCTAAGTACTATTGCTAAGTGCTATTCCTCAAAAATATTTTTTGCAATTTTTCTGTTTTAGATGTATTTGATGTTCTTTAGTTCCCTCTTGTGGTCAAATAATCAATTTAAAATATTTTTTGTAGATCAGTTAGTATCTGTTGGCCAATCAGAATTCATTAAAATCAGAAGAGTTCAGTTTCTACAACAAACAATCCAAAATTGCAAATTATAATTCCCAACGTCAGATAAAGATAGTAATTTAATGGAAATGACAAAATGAAGCTATAGATTTTAAAGTATGCTTTTCCATCAAAAATACTTGAAAAAAAATACTCCACTCTTCCTTATTTTAGTACACCTTCTGCAATCCTCCTCCTCCTTATTCAACAATACTGATGTACCAAAAATGGCACAGATCTTCAAAAAGAAGTAACAGGCTATTACTGAAAAAAAGACTTCTTTAGCTTACTAGCAATAGCAATAGCACTTAGACTTATATACTGCTCCACAATGCTTTACAGCACTCTCTGGGGGGTTTGCACAGTCAGCATATTGCCCCCAACCATCTGTGAAGTTGCCCCTTAAAAGTTATATTACCTCCCCTCCCCATTTTCAGGCTCCACTGAAGATTAAACAAAAATGAAAAGTGCTTTAGCAGAGGACTGTGTTCACATAAGATTTGAACCACTTCTAAGTAGTTTTTGAAGCATGCACAGTCCTGTTACTTTCATATAAAATGAACTGAAACAAGTACATTGAAATTCAGTCTGAAATTAGTTTTCCAGCACTGGCAATTTTACATGTATATATTTTCCCTTCTAACCTTCTGAGTAATGGCAAGATATTGATATCTGTTTGTACATGAATGTCCTAGGTTGTTTGGCTTTCAATATCCCATTTTCTTGTTAACATCTGACTTCATAAATGCTTGGCTCCTAAAGTCTAGTCATGCGCACAACAACAGCAGCAACAAACAAACCAGCACTGAAGTTATTTACACCTAGTTGTTTATACTTTATTTTGATACCACTGCTTCTTATAATCCTTGCTAACCTTCTGTACTTATTCTCTTTCACCACTCTGCTTGCCTTGATTAAGAAGAGGAAGAATGGATAGAGGTGGAAGACGGTAGTAGAACCTTTATTTTCATTTTACTTTATAAGTACTTCTTCATGCTACAATAGGAATATTTATTATTCTTTCATGCATGGAAGGATCATACCTAACTGAAATATACATCATCAATAGGACCAGTGGTGGGATTCAATTTTTTTTTTATTACCGGTTCTGTGGGCATGGCTTGGTGGGCATAGCAAGGGAAGGATACTGTAAAATCTCCAGTCAGAGGTAGTTTTTGCCGGTTCTCCGAACTACTCAAAATTTCCGCTACCAGAACTGGTCAGAACCTGCTGAATACCACCTCTGAATAGGACTATTTAAACCACAAATATAATGAGGTCTAAGAATGGCAATTGTAATACTGAGAAAAGAAAATAGTATTTTCCATACAACAAAAGCTATTTTCATTTGTAATAAGATAGAACTGGAAAATCCTAATATTCCATTTCAGGACTGAAAGTTGACAAGCTGTATTTGACTTACATGATATCTTGGCACTATCTACATCAGGGGTGTCAAACTCAAGGTCTGTGGGCCGGATCCAGGGTGCTTAGATCTGGTTTGCAGGGCTGTTGTGGAAACAGTGAAAGACTGGCCTGAGGTCCTCTCAGTGAAAATGGGCTCCCGAACTCCATTTTCACTGGCAGATGGTTGCGGAAGGCTGTTGCAGCTGAAAATGGAGAGCGCTTGGGCCACCACAGGCACTGACAGAAGTGACGTTGAGCTGGCTATGCCCACCTCAGCCATGCCCACCTCAGCCATGCCCAACCCTGATGCGGCCCTCAATGAAATTGAGTTTGACACCCCTCATCTACATGGTTATCATATAAAAGATGGAATGGATTTATTCTCTATTGCTCCAGAAAGAAGTTTAGAATCACTGGCTAAAAATTATAAGGAGAAATGAGTTTAGGCTGCTAACCATATGAACTGTGAGGTAGGGGAACAAGCTCCTACATGAAGTTCTCCTTCTCTGGAGTTCTTCTGTGGAGTTCTCCTTCTTTGGGGATTTTAAGACAGGCTGGATAGACATCAGTTATAGATGCTGTAGTGGATCCTGTACTTAGAAAGGGACTGATGAGATGATATCTGTCTCTATGAGTCATTGATCCTGTAATAAATGTCTACAATTCTTTTTTGCTTCACTAAATTTTTGGCCTAAATTAATTCATCTAATCTATATTGCAGAAATGAAAGACTACAAAATTATCAAAAGGGGAAAAATGTTTCTGCCCATTTTTCTTCAGTATTCATAATAATTATGGAGTTCTGATTATATTTAACTTATTTTAAATAAAAAAACCATTAACTAAAAAAATTACAACTTGCCTACATTTTTCCTTTATTTCCTTTATTTTCCTTTATTCCTTTATTGTATGTTCTAATACTCTGAACATGTTTTGCTTCATTCTTCATTTGTTTCCTTAATTTAACAGTTATTCTGTTTTGGAATGTGGGAAGAGTCCACTTAGATGTATCCTGAAGAATCTGCCTAGATATTTAAAACATGCCTTATATTGATATCTCAGTTCATGCCAGAATTCTGCCTCCTTTTCCTAATCACCATGAAAGATATTTATCATTGAATCAAAATGTAATTCATGGGCATTTTGGAGAGGCCCAGGTTTCTTTAGGTGTTATTAGAATCACAAATCAGGGACAGGTACAACCAGAGGCAAATTGAACAAAGCTCTCTCTTTCTCAGTCACCCCTTTCCAACATCCTCCTGTCTCTTTCACTCTCCTCTGTTTCTAACACTCTCTTTTCTTTCTTTCCTCATACTGAACATATTGCTTTTTCTCAGAGGTTTAAATTGCTTGCTTGAAAACGATCTTTGAAATTATACCAAGGACATCATCAAATTGAGCTAAATATCACACATATCCACAGGACTGCTGTTTCTCCTCTCTTTTTTTGGAACTTTGCTCTTTTTCAACTCTTCCTCTTCTTTAACCAAACTTCCATAGCCTGACACTAGTGTATTAAAATACTTTTTTTTT